ATCGATACTTGACCTTGCGAAAGTGCTGCGCCTGCCACGAAATCTATACTTGACCTTGCGAAAGTGCTGCGCCTGCCACGCAATTCAAACCTTGCGAAACCTTCGCGCGGCCGTGCCAATGGGCCCGTCTCCGCACCCGTTCCGAGACCGTCCGAGACCGTTCCGAGACCGTTCCGAGACCGCCGCCGTACAGGCGTCGCAGCCGAGGTGGTTTGCGCACAGTCCGGAAGCCCAATTCACGCACAGCGCCAACGTTTTCTGCATCTTGCCATCCCCCAGCTCGCAGAGAGTGGACGCAGCACCTTGCGAAAGTGCTGCGCCTGCCACGAAATCGATACTTGACCTTGCGAAAGTGCTGCGCCTGCCACGAAATCTATACTTGACCTTGCGAAAGTGCTGCGCCTGCCACGCAATTCAAACCTTGCGAAACCTTCGCGCGGCCGTGCCAATGGGCCCGTCTCCGACCCGTTCCGAGACCGTTCCGAGACCGTTCCGAGACCGTTCCGAGACCGCCGCCGTACAGGCGTCGCAGCCGAGGTGGTTTGCGCACAGTCCGGAAGCCCAATTCACGCACAGCGCCAACGTTTTCTGCATCTTGCCATCCCCCAGCTCGCAGAGAGTGCTTGCGAAAGTGCTGCGCCTGCCACGAAATCTATACTTGAGAAAGCTATCTACGTGTTAAGCTGGCTATATGTCAAAGCTATCTATCTGTCATGCAAGCCTATTGGAAAGCTATCTATCTGTCAAGCTAGCTATATGTCAAAGCTATCTATTTGTCATGCTAGCTACCTGTCATAGCTATATGTCAAAGCAGCTAGCTCATTTAGTTCCAGTACTACGGAAGTTTCTTGTTAAACTTCCTTTGATAATGTTTTAGTCCATAGTTCCATTAGCCGCGATTCCATGTTGGGTACCCATTTTTGACCCCCAGCCATTTCTCTGGTTGCCATCAGCCCCGGAGATAGCTCAGGCCAGCTTGCCGGAGGCCACGGCGCAGGTGGCGCAGACCTCGCTCTGGGAAATCCAGCGATCGCCTCGGGGGGGCGCACCCAATTTTTTTCCGTGGGAAAGGCATGTGGCGATCCCGTTTTTTCGGTGGATGGACATCCCATTTGCCGCCGATTTTGAGGTTCACCAGGGGTTTCCCGGGTTTTGACCCACAGCCAAATCGTTTTCGTGGGATTTGAAGGCGATTTGGTATGGCATGGTTCCTTGGTGGTTGATGGGGAACCCCAGCCATCCTTTCAGGTTTTTAGGTGTTTGGTTGGTTTAGTGGTTGGATCCGAAAACGGACAGCCCTGGTTCTGCAACTGTTTAACGGGTTTCGAGCTCACCTGGTAGGATTTGAGCTCACTATGATGTAAGTCGTGTACTTGGGGATCATTGAGTCCAGCTTTGGGACACAGCACTTTGGAGACGCTTGTCAGGTGGGTCGGCCATAGATGGCCCTGGTTTACCTGGTGGTTTAATCATCCACCAGGGCCATCTATTTCCCCTAAAAGGACACCTATGTTTGCGGCGGCTTTTTAGGCTGCTCTTCCAGCACCACCTCCCGGCAGTGCAGACCTTAGCGAAGCTCTTCGAAAGGCCGGAGCCGGCGAGAAACTGGCGGGGTGCTGAAAGGGAAGAGGACCTGTGGCACTTTCAAGATGAATCTCTTACCCTCCCACCAATTAAGAGTTTTCCACATGGAACCTGACGTTCGGGAGTCCCTGTAAAAGGATAATGGTCCAAACCAGGACCCCCCGAACGTAATTGGTGGGAGGGTAAATGGTAGATCCCCAAGTGTGAAATACCGCTCGCTCCCCATCGATATTCACTTGGGACACGCATATTTGTTGATGAGGTTCTGGGACGCTTGCAGGGATTTTCGCTTCGGTCCTGGTCCAACAAAGTCGCAATGTTCTACATAAAACATGTCTGCTTCTTTTTGTGAGGACACGTGCTCAGGTGGTTGAAACATGTTGACACCGTGAAGGCGCAATGTGCCATTTTCAGTTGCAGTTCAAATTGCCTTGCAGCGCTCCCTTGTTAAATTGGGCTGGGAGGCAGGGGTCCGGGATAGATGATATGTATCAAAAGGGTGCTTACATTAAAATCGGGGGAAGGCAGAATTCAGCCCACTTCCCCGTTGTCTCGGCATCGTTTTGGACGCATCCGAAAAATTGCTTTCAGAAGGGCACCCAATGCCACTTCCTCGAACAGGACCAGACCCTTGCTTAGCAACAGAGACAGGGTTTTGAGAAGAGCTTCCGGTTTGTTTCAACAACAAATCTCGGAATCTTTCTTAAGAATCCTTCAAGTTTCGCCAGCACTTCTCCCTATGCACTCCGCGTAAAAACCGGGAGCTATCCCAGGGGCTTTGGTAGGCCCTTCTTCAAGCCCACTAGCCGAAAGCTGGACCCGGAGCTCTTCCTGGACCAGACCATGGTCAAGTCCTACCAGCAGGAGGGGAGTCGGGGGCGGGGGTGGGCGCGTGGGGTAGCCTCAAGTCGGAAGCCGAAAGGAAGAACTGACGCCATTTTGGGAGTGCCCGATTTTGACGCGCGCGCACCCACACACACACACACTCTCAGACACCCTCTCTCTCTCTCTCACACACACACCCGGACACTCGGATTACCCTCCATGCTAAATTGCCCATACAGTTGGGGCAATGTATATCTCAGATTATCTCAGGTTTGGTGGTCTGAGGTCCCAGCGGTCCAAGGTGGGAACAGAGAGTTGGGGCGAGTCGATTCGCAGTTTGGCCGGACAAGGGCGGGTGTCTTTGTTTTGTTTGCGAGGCTTGTTTTTGGTACTTTCTTTGTGCGACATCATGACCTCTTGATTGCACGTTCCATCCTTGTCATGACTCCAGCTTGGCATCCAAGACTGGCTTTGATGGTTTCCACGTCCGAGTGGTTCGAAGACGAGGGGGTTCCCAACAGGCTTGAACTGAGGGTCCAGCTTCGTAGCTTGGACCCTGTTCCCTTCTCATCCGCCAGTCACCCAACCTTGTTCTGGACCAATTGAGTTGATGTAGGCCATCACTCGCTGGCAACTTGCAACCTTTCCAGTCAAACCATCCACTCCAAAACTCTTGCAATCATCAATCAGTAGCAAAACCGACACGCGCCCCCCCCCCCCCGCAAATAGTCAATGAACTTGCCAGCGCAACGCTCATCACTAAACTCACTCCCCCCCCCAAAAAAAAAAGAAGAACAAACAGAAAGCAATTCAACCCCTAACAGATCCTTCCCCCAAAGGCGGCAGCTTCCTTCACTTCAGCCCGTCGAAAATCGCCGCAGCCGAAGGCGCTGAAGTCCGCGGAGCGGCAGCTGTCGAAGCTCAAGGCCCGCGGCGCCAAGCCGCCGCTGGCCTTCCGGAGCCAAGAGGCGGCCCGGACCCGAGGGACTCGAGTCGGGCTCCGTCCGCGGCCTGGGGCCTGGGTTCAGCTGGTTCTGGGGCCTCGTTGTTTTCTTTTTTTCTTTTCGGCAGGCTGAAAAATGGGGGGGGGGGAGTGCAATCTGCAAGGGGTGGGGAGGGACGGGGGGGAGGGTTAGCATGGTTCGTATTTGAATCTGTTTGGGGATGAGGGCCGTAGAACTAGGTGGGACTGGAGAATGGCGGCAGACAGAAATTTCACGGCTTTCAGAATTGCTTGCGGTTCATATATTAGATGTGGGCCCTGGTTTGAAAACCAGTGAAACCATATATGTTTAGTGTTGGGGCAAATTTGAGCATGTCACTTTCATGGACCTAGTCCAGTGTGTTTTTTCTTGGGTCAGTAACATTGGCCACAAAGAGAGACTCTTCAAGGATTCCATCCTGTTGATTCTTTACCTGGGTTTTGGGTGGTCCCCAGTTGACATCAAGCGGGTCTTTTGTTGGACAATTCGGGAAAGTGTAGTCCGGATAAACATGTTTGCTGGGCAAGTAAGCTAGACAGGTTTGGTTTGTGTGCTTCGGCCCAACCAACTCGGAGACTGAGGCCAGCTTTCAATGGAGTTGTCAGTGTGTCAGTTTCCAGGCCCTTTGCCACTTGAATGTTTGCAAGCCCTTGCTTTGATCAGTATGAGTGTGTCAAAACAGGGAACCCCCACAATTTGTGGTTGTCCTCCTGATTTCACTTTAAACCAATTTGAAAAGGGTGCCCTCGAAAAGACACATACATATGATTACATATGTGTATATGTACACAGGGTCCAGTGGATTAGGGGCAGTCGAAACTGGCGCCTTTGCCCGGTGCCAACAACCGAAAGGGCTAATCCTTGTGCACCCCGCCGAAAGTTAATTTGGCAACTCCCTCCAACTGTTCTTTGTGTCCATTTAAGTTAAGCGGGACCCCCCCCATCCTTCCAGGACTCAGTTTTGTGCATGCCATTGGCACGCAGCCCCACTCGAGGACGAGGTTGCACGCCGGGTGGCCGGCTGGGCAGCGGCCTTGTCCACGGGCCAGCGCCGGGTCGGCGCGGATCTCTAAGCCCGCGGCCCCCGGAAAAAGCAACGCGGCGGATCCGCCGGCGGGTCCGTGCCGCCGGGTGAACGAAGCGGTCGAAACGCAGAGCGCAGCGTTGAAGTCGGATTGTTTGGCGTATGTTAGCTGGATGGCCCATGTGTTTTTGCTGGAATGTCGACTTCGGACAACTCCGGAAGACTACACATATTTCAACATCAATTCACTACCAGCCCTGGTTAGTTTGCCATTCGGCCCTTCCCAATCCCAAAGCAGCTACTCCAACCACTGCTGGAGTATACGCACAAGGGTATGTAGGACCATTCATAAGCATGCTGGCGGAAAACCATGCAGTTTGCGGCGTTTGGTTTGAGCATCTAACATGATAGGGGCCTAGCGCCGTTGACTCAAAGTCCGCATGCATAAAAGGGTGTGGTTCGTTATTTGCCATTGTCTATCGTTTGCTTTGCGTGCTTGTCTTTTGTCATTTGTTGTTTGTTTTGTTTCCCGGGCGGATGCACATGTGACGTTACAGAACTAGCTGTGATGCCATTTGCTGCAGGCTGCAGATGGAGACGGTGAAGTTTCCGAACCAGCTGAAACAAGTGGAGGAGGCACACCAAGGGCCTGTAAAGATAGAATTGGAGAAACTGGGGTCACTGCTTGATGTGCTTCTGGGTTGTCAAAGTCAGAACGGGGTTGTTCCCCCAGCAATACCTTGCAAATTCTGTTCTAGTTCCGTTCCTTTCAATGATGAATATTAGATAAGCGGAATTTGAGGACGGTCCTTTTCCTTGGGATTTCCTCATGTGTCCCTGCTCAAGCCATCCGAACAAGGAGCCCCATATCTTGAGGTGGACACGCCCCTTGGCACCTGCCCCCCCCCAGGTTGGTTGCCAAAGGCCGAGGTAGCATGTCGCATGCTGTCAAAATGTTTTACGATTCCTTGGACTTTGGTTGCGGGCAAAAAGCTTGGCGCATCGCGCATCCTGACCCTTTCGGGGCCTGGGCAGCAGCTTGGGCCCAGCCAGGAGCTGGTGCAGGAGAGAAGGTGTGCGCGCCCCAGAAGGCCCCATATGACTCATGTACAGGTATGGAGGGGCCCTATCCGCACCTAGAGTTTGGAGCAGGCGGTTCGGGAATTTCCATGGCAGTGCAGATCATTGCTCCCAGCGGCTGACAACCTGAACACTCTCCATGCTGTGCACGGGGAGCGCTTTTTGCATGAGCCGACCGGCTCTTCGGTCCACTTGAGGTTAGGCAGCCGCTGGTGAGTTGGACTTTTCGTCAGAGGCGGCGTTTGGCCCCAGTCCGATTTCCGTCCCCCCTTGGGAGTTCAGTCGCCATGCGGCGGGCGCTGGCGGCGGTGTCGGCGGTGTCTGCCTCCCTGGCCTCTTCCACACTGCTGGACCTCAAGCCCGTGCCGCTGCTTGGAGGGCGGCTCGGCCTTCGTTCTGCAAGGATTGGTGATGGCGCGGGATTTTGAAGGTCATGCTTTTGTTGCTTGATGTTGGGGTGTTGGTTTTCCGGATGATCCAGTTGTGATTTTGGTTGGTGTGCTTTCAGGAAATGCGGAGGGATGTTGGGTCGATCTCTCCAGCGCCAAGCTCCTCGCTGCCGCCATGTCCGAGGTCGGCGGATTGGAACTTTGGGCGCTGGGCAGCTGTCACGGACAAGGTGCGCGGGGGCGTCTCCACTGCGGAGCTGTCTCCCGGCGCGGACGGTGCCGCAAGGCCTCCTGAGCAAGAAACAAGAAACGGTTTGCTGGGAGGGTTGCTTTTTGGTGGTGTTCCCAGTTCCTTCCAGTGCTCCCTGAGAAGGCGCGGGTGAAATCAGGGGCAGAACAAATAGATACGGTGGTTTTGGGGGGGGGGGGGTTCAAGTGGTTCTAGCCCCCTTGCAAGCAAAGATCGAAGGTGATAGTTCGTGTACGCGACCTTGTTTGGGCATAGGGATTGCATGCTGCAGAAGTGGCAGCTTGTTCCAAGGCTTTGGGGTGATGTATGTCGGGCTCTCCATGAGATTCAGGGCGCCTTCCCGTTGACCCAACTCCAAGCTAACGCAGAGCCCCTTAAGGAATCTCAAAGTCGCCGAAAGTGGCTACATAATATTTGATACGCATGGCCCAGGCAAAAGAGAACACCTAAGCCCAGTAGGACTTTGGGGGTCCCCCTTGTCGCCTTGGGCCCGGCAGGTTCCTGGGGAACTTGGACCCCTCCAAGCTCAACGCCGGCTTCGCGGGCGTGAACCTGGAGGTGGGGCTGTGGGGTGGTGCAAGGCATGGAAGTGGGCGGCGAGTCCACGCTGTTCCACTTTAAGTTATTGAAGGGTCAGTTACAAGCATACCAGGTTGGTCAGTTAGAAAGTGACCCCCCCCCACAACCCCCACCCCTCCCCCCACCCATAGGCTAGCCAGTTACAACCAGAGGATCAGAGTCGGCTTCAGCCCTCGGTTCCCAGTGGAGGTGGACTTGCTGCCGGCGAGCTTGGCCGAGCTCTCGGGTTTGCAACTGGAGGTCCTTGACGCGGACCGGGGGGGTCAGGTCGAGGGGTCGAGGGACCCGTCGTTGGATCGACCCGCCGGGCGACGAGGGAGGGCCGGGCGAAATTTGGTTTGGACGGGACACGAACAGGAAGCCAGCCTTGAGCCTCCGGATTTCCAGACAAGGATGTTTTTTTGGCACGCCAAGGAGCCTTGGCACAAGGCCATGGGGAGGGCATTTCTGAGCCGTGGCAGTGGGGCAGTGTTTGTCGGTGGATTTTTTCGAAGCCCCAAGTTCATGGCTGCAACTGCAGCTTGACCCTGATGAATTTGCGGTTTTGTGAGGGGCCTGCTTGCTTAGTGGGGATTCCACGTTGTTCTGCCCCTCCCCCCCTTCCCCAAATTCACCACAACATGAGTTACACCCACACCCAAGTCTCCATTCCACGGATCCCTTTTTCTCGACTCCGGACTCCAGGGCATCCAAGATCTCTTGCTCGTTTTTTTCTGGTTTCAGGACGGCAAGGAGTACACCTTGCTGCTCAAGATGAAGAACGGGGCGAGTGGATCCTCGTACCAGGTCCGCTTCGTGCCCCGGTGCGGGCCTGAGGCTCTGAGCTGCTCCGGGAGCTTCGATTCAGCATATTAGATGGCTTGTCGGAATTCTTCCTTGAACGCATGACAAATTGTGTCTTTTCCGCGGGCCTTTTGCCCAACATGAAGCGAAACTCAGAGAGAACAAGGCCGGACACTTGCAGCAATCAGTGGGTGGGGAGAAGCAAGAGGGTTCCTGGCAGGTTCGTTGAGGATATTCGTTTCTTGGCCTTTGGCATTTTCTCAGCTTAAGGTATTTGGTATCCTCCTACGATGGTTTGGGTGGGTGGTTTGGGGATTTGAACCCTTGGTTCTTGGGGTGAATGGTGGTTTCTACACTCCTTAACCTTATGAGAACTTGATAGCCATAGACTGACCTCAGTGAAACCACCGATTCGGCTCCAAGCCACCCTGCTTGACTGTTTGAGGGAAGCTGAGACCTCGAGTTTAGGACATCCGGGTCCGCGGGTTTCAGGCCGCAGGAGCCCTACACCGCGTCCTTCCGGGACTTTGTGGGCTACTACCGCGGCCGCCCGGACCCGCAAGCTGCCCCGCTGCAGCTGCGGCTCGGAGTCATGGGTCACTGGGGTCACTGGGGCCTGGGGGGAAGGCGGGTGCTGAACAGAAGGAAGCCAAGACTAGGTCCCCAGCAGTACCCTTTTTGGGGGGAGGGTTGCCCTACTAAAATAGACGACAGAAAAAAAGGTTACCTTTATATTCTAACCTCTCTACTAAAAAACCTAAAAAAAAGAAAGTCATAGAAAGGCCATGGGAGCGATTTTCCGGCCATGCACACGTGGAATTGCTTGCAAGGGCTTTGAAGCCATTTCTTGGAACTGCCGGCATTTTGTCTAAACTGCCGGCGCTTTTTCTTCTTGCGACAAAGACACATGCATCAATATAGAATGGCTAAGATGTTGGCCGCCGGAGTTCCCATTTATACTTAACTGATGTCTCGGTATGCGACCCCATTTCGGGAGATCCAACAGATTCGGGTCCAACGCAAGCTTTGCGAAACCTCTCAGCGCATTGAGCCCAGCCGCCTCCGGCTTTGTGCCCTCGACAAAATCCCCCGCCCCCGCCCCTGTTCCGCGTGCGAACCGTGTCCTTGTGCGCCTGTTCAAAGTGATCTTCCTGGGGAAATGGGTTGCCATAGACTACCCTGCCTGATTTGGTCACCCAGAGCTCAATACACCACGCGGGGACCACGCTTTTGGACTAGGCCAGAAGCCACAAGGCAAAATGAAGGCAAAGAACAGTGGCTTGGTGTTAGAAAAACAAGGCCCTCAGCCACTTCCATTTATTGGAGCCCTATTTTATTTATTGCGAGCTCGCCGGAAGAAGGAGGCAAGGTCCTTTGGCTGGGTTTAGAATTAGTGTTGAATCTGAATCTGCAGCTTAGTGGGAAGCCAAGATGTTGATCAACCCTTGGGCTGACAACTGGGGACAGCAAGTGATTCGGCTCCCATTGGAAGTGGCTGTGGGTCAAAACCAATGGTACCATCTTGGGGTAGGTGCACCACCCATTTTAGTCTTTTTTAGTGGGGATTGGGATGTTACGATTTGAATTTTGACCCATGGCCAAGTGAGTCCTAGGTCGGAGGTCAAGACCCTGGCGCTGCAGATCGCCAGCAACTTCACGCAGCAGAAAGGGCCCTTCCAGCTTGAGCTGCAGGCCATCACAGGCATCCAGAATGCTGATGCCTCCGTGGCGGTCTAGGATGGTCTAGGGACGGTCTTTATGGGAAGACGAGAAGACGAGAGGTGGGCGAGTTTCGTGGTTCAACACCAGGAAGCGGTGGTTGAAACCAGTGGCTTGAGCTATGTCCAAGTTGGGCCAAGCCTGTCTAGCGCGTCCCTGCCGGTCTAGCCGTGTGCGCGCGTTTCTCCAGAAAGTGCCCCTGCAGTAAAGTAACCAAAGCACGCCAGCGTGCGTTTCCGGGAGGATGGGGGAGGTGGCACGCCAGTGCGCGTTTCCTCGTTTCTTGAGAAGTCCCCCTGCGAAGTGGATGAAACGAAGCAGTGGTGCGGTGGTGCGTTGGGGACTGGTGGCAGCTGCATTCGTGAATGCTTGCGTCAGTCTTGCGAGCTGTCGGACGGAAAAACTGATGATTTGCAGATTAGGATGGTCCCAGGATTGATACCTGGAGAATATCACTGAACAACTTTCCTGGGACCCTTTTTGCACATGTGCGGCAAGTGCCAAAAAATCGCAGGACCCCCAAAAAGCGGTTCTCCTCGAACCCCCCCGCCATCCCCCCCCCGGCCCAGTTTGTTGCCGCGGAGCTTGGATTCTAAGGGCGGCAAGGCCTCGAGGAGGAGTTGCAGGCGATTGGGATGGATCGATCCAGAAGCTGCATGTGGCTACGCCTCGGATTGCAGTTTTGCACCCAAAACAAACGACCCTCAAAATGGGATTTCACCGGCAACAGCCCAATTTTTATACAACCCATTTTAAAAGGAATTGTGCGTGCCCAGGTTGTATTTTAAAGGCCGCCGGGCCTTTAAACACCCCTCGATCGAATGTTCGCAAGGTAGAAGGGTGTCAGGACGGCTCGAGACTGCGGGCAGATGCCACATGTGCCACTGGAGTTTGCGTTGCGGTTTGGAGACCCCTGACCTCTCAATGTATTTAATGTGATTTTAATGTGATATTTAATGATTTTATGTGATATTTCAAATGACCTCTCAAAATATTTTGCCAAAATGATGGGGCAACTTCAGGCTGCGGAGTGATTTGTGTGCTTGCTTGGGCACGGCTCTCCTGTTGCCCTCCTATGTTAGAGAAACCCGCACAGTTCTTGAGAATCCCGCCGGTGAAGGGAAGCAGCTCTCTTGAGAATCCGTAGAATCTCAGAGCCCATTGAGGTCCATCAGGCGGATTTCGGACATGTGTCTGCGCGTAGGTGCAGCAGAGTCTGCGAGTCCAGGCAGAGAGCTCGCTTTCAGAGGTGCGGTTTGTCAGCCGAGGGATCCCCAGTGGCCAAATGCGGTCAGCTGAAGCTTCGGCTTGTTTCAAGCGAACTGGGGGAGTGAATCCACAAATTTGCGACGTTCCTGGAGCTGTAAATTGGTTTGGCCCTTCAAGCGTTTGGAAGAGAAGACCAGCACCCCCCTCTAGCCACCAGGCGGCCCCCCCCCGGCCCCCCCCCCGTTTCGGGACCCGTGCGAAGGGCGAGCTTCGCAGGTGGAGCGGCGCCTGGAGTCCGTGGAGCTGGAGCACAAGAAGCTGTGCGCGGGGCCCATGGATTCGTTCAGAGCTGGCTGGGTGGCAGGGCAGGGAATGAGAAATGGAATGAGAGAACCTGAAAAAAGCAAAAAAAACATCACTAAACCAAAAAAACCAGACCACTGGTGGTTTCCTTTAAGGAGAAGCCTGGCTTTTATTTACACGTTCCCTGCTGACCAGCAAGATGGCGTTTGGCAAAGGAGGTCCCTTAAAAGACGTTGGTAAAACCGCCCCAAAAACAGGGGCTCCCTCAATAGACTTTCGAAAAAACCGGCCCAAAAGCAGAGGGGTTCCCATCAAAAGAAGGACGCACCGAATATGGGGATATCCTTTTTGGGGGGGCACCCATGGCACGCTTTTTGGGGGTGCCAAAACGAAGCCAGCCATTTTTGCGTGACCACGATTTAGGGAAACTGGGCTTTGGTTCAAAGAGACATCAAAAGGAGAGCCACAATTGTGAGGATTCCCCTGTTACAACACATACCCAGGTGGCTCTTGATGCAGCTGAATCTTGGTTCTTCCCCTTTGGTCACAGGTCTTGTGGAGAACGAGCGCCATCAGCGCGGGGCAGAGTCACCCGGCAGCAAGCTTCATGCAGGCCATGGTCAGGTTGATGTGGGTAGGGATGGTCATCAACCCCGTTTCTAGGGAGCTCAAGACAATCATAGACAATTAGAAAGGTCCCCATTAAACAACACATGACACCCAAGGAGTCTTGAACATGGTGTGAATTTGGCTAATCTCTGCAAGGGTTCTTTGAGAAATGCCAAGCGGACATGGTTCTTCTGAATCCACACAAGCCGCGGAGCCCCGGGAGAAAAACTGTGAGCCGGCCGGACGAAAGAACACAGCACGCGGTTTGTTTCCTGGTGGGCTCCCCTCTTCAAATTGCACGAATCAGCCCCAATGAAATGAAGGACCTGTTTTCCGCAACTGGGCGTGTTGCTTCACTGCTTTAGGTTTCGGCACGGGATCCAGAGACTCGATGTTTCACAGACTCAGCCAGCGACATGCTGAAAAGCCAGGATTCATTGGGGCAGCCCGTTCCTGAGGTTGATGTTTTTTTCAACCACTCAGGAACATGCTTTTACTGCGGTGGTCTCCCTTAGCCCTTCAGGTCAGGTTCCACGCGCGCAAGGTGCTTCGTTATAGCCTAGGTTTTCAGTAGTGCCCTTTCACCCTTTTTTTGGGGAGGGTTCCCCTACAGAGAAAAAAAGGGTACCCTGATTCTAACCTCTCTACTGGAGGACCCAGTAGCCATGGTCAAAACCCACTTGCCAGAGTTGCAAGTCCGGGTCGGAGCGAGGAGTGCCGTCGTCCGTCCCCGGAGTCGGCCCAGGGTGGCGCGGCTGCGGGAGGAGCTGGTGGAACTGACCGCCCTCCTGGAGGTGGAAAGGCACAGGGCGCTTGACTCAGGCGACATGATGCCGACAGATGCCGACAGGGGCGTTGGGCTTTTGCGTTTTGGAGGGGACAGCTGAAGAGCAGGTACCCTAGTCATTTTCTCCAGGAACGGTGGAAATGGACAAGGGGCCTTATCAAGAAGATGGTAGGTTCAAAGCCCTGTTGTCCGGTCCACGCCCACGGCTCGTAGAGCGAGGGTTAGCACCACATCAAAGAGTCAGCTCTTTACTGGCCCAGGGCTGGATCAATCCTGTCCTCACTCGTTCTCACTCTTGTTCTCCTTCGCTGTTTGTTGTTTCTCGTGTTCGCCACAGACCCGCGCATCCGCTTCTGCCCCCAGCTCCCAGTGCCTCTCAGTGCACGCCTCAGATTCGCTTGAGGTCAAGAAGCTCGAGGCGAGCCATTCGGCGCGGGGGAAAAAAGTTCAGGCCGTGAAGGGACGGCCAAAGCTTGGGGCGGAGGTTCAGCGAAAAAGGGATGGTTTTCGGATTCAGTACCAAAAAAACCTTGTTTCTGTTGGTCCATCTTTGGGTGTAAGCAATGGGACCGGTCCCGTGGAACCCTTTGTTTCAGCCCAAAGGGTACCATCTCACACACCCCTGCCAATCTTGGACATGTTACGCAGGCTGCCCGTGGCGAGGGAGATGAGCGCCTACGTGACGCCATGGCGCCGGAAGGGGGGTGGTCGTTTTCTGGCTCCCAGCTATTCAGTAAACCTTCAAGACCACATTCTTTTGTTTGGTGGAGTTGCAGAAGGACGTTCTAAGTGACCTTCCACTGGAAAAGCAGCCAGTTGCTTGCTCCAAACGCAACCGAAAGAGAAGTCTCGCGGTCCTTCACCCGCCCCCACCCGCCCGCATAGTAGGGGGTCTTGTAAGCTGATAGGTTTGTAACCGGCTGTGTCTCCTGCTTGCGCGCGGAGCCACCCCTTTCGGGCTACCCCTTTCTGGGTAACCCCTTTCCGGCTAACCCCTTTCTGGGTAACCCCTTTCCGGGTAACCCCTTTCTGGGTAACCCCTTTCCGGGCAACCCCTTTCTGGGTACCCCCTTTCCGGGCAACCCCTTTCCGGGCAACCCCTTTCAGGGCAACCCCTTTCTGGGCAACCCCTTTCGGGGCAACCCCTTTCTGGACAACCCCTTTCTGGGCAACCCCTTAACCCCTTTCCGGGCAACCCCTTTCTGGGCAACCCCTTTCCGGGCAACCCCTTTCTGAACAAGCCCCTTTAGAAAGGGGGTCAGAAGGAAGCTCCAGTTGCTCCCGTTGCTTTCCATGCCAGGCCCGGGAAAGGTCCGACGACCTCGCTCTCAGGTGGGCAGAGAGCCACTGAAAACCACTGAAACCAGACATTGGCCACAAGACGAAACCCATTTCGCACCACCCAAGAAACCCGGGCATGATAAGAATCCCCCATAAATACCAACCAAACATGGTTTCCCATGGTTTCGTAGGTGGTGCAGGGGTTTGTCTTTCGACGGTCTTATTTGGAAGACCCGAATCCTTGTAGAGTGGGTGGCTTGGGGACGTATTCCTTGAAGAAGCCATTATGAATGAAAGCGCTCTACTTGGGAGATTCTTCCTTTGTACTTTGCGGATTCTGGCAAATGTTTGGCAAACTGCTCAGAATGGTGAGTTTTATCCTCGTCTCACCTTCAGACGACCAGCAGCGGGCGAGGTGGAGGTCCCGCCCCATTTGTTGCTCGCGGCGTGCCGCTGCGTGCGTGAGGAAGCTTTTGGCCGCTGCCCAGCAGGAGCGGGACGAGGCGGGATGAGCTGCGCATGCGGCGAGGTGCAGCGGTTTGTGGCGCAAGCTTCGTGTGGACCATAGGCTTTGGGTTTGTTCAGCTTGGTCTATGTTTAGCATCATAAGCCAACAATGGATCCCTTCATGTGCCCTTACGGCAAATTTGACAACTGTCAAGACAGCGTTTGTTTGGCTCGCCTGTTTTTACCTCAATGCGAATCGGATGACGCTTGTGCTGAAACAATGCAGGCACAGGAGGTCGATGTTGAAGACCCAGCGCTTGACTTCGCACTGCTAAGACCAAAGAATGTACAAGAGTTTTAAGTGTGAGTACCGCTCACTTAGTGTTTGGGTTCCCTTCGGATTTCTGATGGTCCACCGATGGCGTGCGCATTTGTTCAAAAGGGTAACACCAACTTCCAACAGCGGGGGGCTTGCGCACTTGAGCAAGGTCCTGTCTCGGCCGGTTTTCTTGCTTCGGGTGGGTTCCTTAAGATGGTTCATTGTAAGTTGGATTCACAAATCCTTCAGAGTCTGGGCGTCCGAGTCCATCTGCCTTTGGGTCTGTGTCTTTGAGGTCGTGAGGGTTGCAAATGAAAATGGGTGGAATCGGATCGAAGCAAAGGCCATGGAGCGGTCCCTGCGGATGCAAGATGTGCACCGGATGGTGGAGGAGACCCATGGGCTGCCATAGCCATCAGGTTGAGTCCGGGACGTGCCAATTCTTGGTGGCTGCCAGACATCCGGGTCCTTAGCTTTTTAGCCTAGCGTTTAGTGGTAGTTTCCATTTGTCACTTTTAGCCGGGGATCAGAAAACGGGCAGCGGTCAGTAACCTTTTGACCTTTCGGTTTTCCTGTGGTCCATGGTCAAGGTCCCAAAAGGTGAAGCTTAGGATCTTTTATTCCAGGTCCTTGGGGCAGGAGGCAGGATAGATCCTTGCCGGATGGTAGTTCTTTCCCGAGTACCACAGATTGCGCATTGGGATGTTCCATTTTGGGTTGCCGCACCCCCAACCGGTTTTATGGGGGACTTCTACTGGTGTGGGGAGCACTTAGATGGCAGCACGTGGAGACACTGCGCCGGCATGACAAGCTATGGATAACCAACATCAAGACTTGCTGGTGCGATGAGGAATGTGGGAATGAACCCAGGGATTTCCTTAAAGGAAGCCACCAGTTGGATGTTTTTTTTTTGGGTTTTGTTTGGGGGATCATTCCAATTATCATTCACCTGGCGCGTTCCTTTCGCCGCCAGGAGGTGCATTCGCAGTTGGCCAAAGCCATGGACAGGGAAAAGCCCTGGCCCCAGACGCTCCATTTTGGGCGTGAAACATAGCCCATATATACATATATATATATAATATTTATTGTTTGGTGGTTTCAAGGGAAAGCAACAAGCAAAAGCACATTTTTGGGGGTCCCCAAATTTCCCATGATCGCTTTTTCTTACAGCAGTTTTCCTTTTGCCCAGGAAGCAACCCGTCACATGCTCAAAGCCGCAAAGCCACAAAGCCGCAAAGCCATTGCCGGGTGGGATGGGTCACGCCGCATGTGAGAAGGGTGAGCAGTGTTCAGATAGCCACGATGGGCGGGTGCTCCATGCGAGGGACCCTCGGCCAGGCCAGAGGCCAACTGCGTGGGAGTTCTGGCCACTGGTCATCTTTCTGCTGCTGGAAAGCTTGTGGTCGATGTGTTTGGGGTTAAATTAGCGCTCGACAGTTTCTGAATCAAACTTCACTCGAGAAAGAGAGACAGAGAGATGCCCATGGGCATTTTAAGTCTATGTTTTTGTTATAGGTGTGCGTGCATATGTATATATAAATATACATGTCTACATATATTTATATATATGTACACATCATATGTGCCTGTGTTACATGTGTAGGAATGTATGCATTGTTTGAAGTCCGCGCTTCTGCCAATCCTTGAAGCTGACGACCCATACTGGTCTTCGCATTTTCTCGGCTCAAGCTGCTCACTGCGGCACAGCATGCACGTGGTCAGAATCCGCGGGCAAAGCATCCACTTCACCAAAGCGATTCGAGCCAACCACCCAGCCTTTTCGACTCGACACCCTGGGCGCTTTCTGGGCCTTTGTTGGGCCCATTTTTCGGCGCGAAGCTCGGCCCCTGCGCCATGGGCGAGGGCAGTGAGGGCGTCTATGCGCCCGCAGACTTGCTGCGGTGGCGGTTGGCGCTGCAAGATGAGGCGCGCTTTGCATCTGATGCAGAGAAATCACGCGGACAGGGCTTGGGGTGACCTTGAGGAAATGGGAGATAGATGGAGTCAGCTGAATTGCCCTAAAGTCAACCAATTCAAAAACTACAAACGAGCCACCCCTGATTTTGGCGCTCTGCAAACCAGACTTGAAGTTTGACATGAATCAAATATGCTCTGGCAGGATGGTGACCTTGGCTACAAGGCAGGGGGTCAAACTGGTCCGGCCCGTTTTTGGCGGGGTCCTTGCTTGGGTCGCTGGGAACTGGCAACATGGCGGTCAACCACCATCAGGGATGTGCAAATATGGGCAGAACCATGGACTTCCTCGGCTTCCTTCCCGGTGTCATGGACGCCGCGTTGGATCCCAATGTTCGTTAGAGAAGGATGAAAACTTGAGGCATGCAACTCACTTTATGGATGGGCTTGGACCATTTTAGTGGTGAACAAGAAGTTGAGACATGTTCTGCTATTGGGTTGGATCTTTAGGCTTTAACTCTTTTCGGGAAATCAAGGGGGGTTACCCACTAAACCCACAAAAAGTGATTCAATTTTTGCAGTGGGGTCAACAGCAACCAAGAAAACAGGGGCTCTATTTAGGTCCCCTCACCCAATGGCTGCCACTGAGGCTACGCCTCAAGGCTTCTTTTAAGGGCCTGTGCGCTGTCTCAAGAGGAGGTCCTTACTTCCGAGGCATTGAACTAAATGTGCCCTGAATCACTGAACTCGAAATTTGTTGATTTCTGAACTCTTTTACGGATTATTCGGGAGGATCAGTCATCAACAAACAAAGCCAACAAAGCCTCTCAATTCTGCCTCCAATGGGAAAGGAAGCATCCCGGAGCAAGACTGAAACTCATCGTGCAAGGAGGCAACATGAAAGCAACGATTCGGGTTGGCGCCTTTCGATATGCCGATGCATTTTTTGGGCAGGTGCAGGAGGTTCCATCTGTGCTGCCGGCCAGACCCATTCGATCCGGGCGGAAAGAACGGACGGAGAAGAGGACTCCTGGCTATTTCAGTGAGTATGCTGAGTCAAGTTTGGGGAAATCACCACCAGGCCCAGGGGCCATGCCTTTGAAAGAGGATCCCACTGTTGATCACTCGTCAGCATTGACAGCATGTGGTCGACACTTACCCAAAGGCGTGCCGAAAGCGTGCAGAAGCCCAATGGGCAGAAGTGAAGTTTCAGCAAGCCAGCTTTCAAGGAGCATGTGAGATCATGTCAGATCTGATACGTTCAAACCCATCATCTCTATGGGTATCTCTCCGATGTTTTGAGCCCCAAAGTTGCCAACTTGGGCACTCGCCTGCATTGGGAAGTAAGATCACTTTTGGTGATTGAAAGTTTTGATGGACATGAACCACTTTGGTATCACAGTTTGGTGGCACGCATCACAGCAGTCCTCATATTTCACTTCCTTGGGTGGTTCAGCGTTTTGCCACCGTTTATTTGCTGGGCGCGGCTCTTTTTTTATTGAATTTCGGACACGTTGGAGGTTCAGCGTTTTGCCACTGTTTTTCTTTTTGGTGGGGCGAGTTGATTTCTTGGGGGGCACTCGGAAGTTGTGGATTTCCCTATGTTCACCTCCATGAGGAAGAAGGTCAAGACCATGAGCCCCCACCGGGAGATCCTGTGCCGCACCGTGGGCGACCTGAAACTGCTGCTGTTTCGCGGGGCCTGCTGCGCTCAGAGCCTTGAGAAGAGCGGCGCCTTCAAGATCGCCGGCGCGCCTCGGAGAGAGGGAACCCCCCTTCCATGTAGAGAGAGAGGTTGTTTGGGTCGGTTTGATTTGGGTTGTTGGTTTGGTTTGGGTTGGGTTGTTGGTTTGGTTTGTTGGGTTGCTTTGGTTTGGGTTGGGTTGGATTGGGTTTGGTTGTTGGTTTGGTTTTGCTTGGATTGTGAATTTGGTTTGGGTTGGTTTGGGTTGTTTGGCTTGGCTTGGGTTGGGTGGTTTGGTTTGGGCTGGGTGGTTGGTTGGACCCGTAATTGACCCAGTTGCCCAGTGGCTTTGGGTTTTCAAATTGGGGTTCGTAGAGGTCCACGAAAACAAAACATGGGAGTGATAGAACCACCATGACTTGCCTGAGGTGGAGCAACCACTAGTTCAATGAAGCTACACTACACATGGTGGGCAACCTTCCAGTCCCATATGGATGTGTGGGTACTTAAAAGTCTGCCATTTATCCTTGGAGGTTTGTCCAAGGGTTAGGTGATTTCAAAGACATTAGTTTGTTAGAAAGCAACCCAGTGGCCCAGTGGTTGCCTTTTAAGTTATGCACCAAACGTGGTATGGATCGCCAGGTTCCCGGGAACACGGGAGGACCAACATCCTCCAAGACTTCATTACCCAAATTTTCGCTCACGCAAGAGGCACAGCTACGAATGGAAAAGCCACCCTAGGGTGCTGCACCTGACGCCTTTGGGAGGGCGACGGTGTTTGGCCCTTTGGGTGACAAATTCGGAGGCCATGAGCTTGTCCCGTAGGCTTCGCTTTTCGTGTTCCAGAGTATTTCACCGTATGGTGTGTATATATATATATATATATGTGTGTGTGTGTGTGCCATTGGGTAAAAGGCAGTGTAGGACACCGGTTGTGTGATGGTCGTTTAGTTCAATGCCGAGTTTGTGCTCGGCATCATTTCCATGGAGGGTTTCATGGTTTGTGACCCCCAGGCTCGTCAGGATATCCTGAATTATTGGCGGGGTTTCAAAGGGAATCCAAAGGGATACCCTCAGAGACCACCGCAGAAGCCTGCCATTTGCGGCTCCCCCCCCGGCCCCGGTATACACGTGACAAAAACATTTCGTCCTTTTGTGCTCACCCTCAATGGGTGGTTTGAGAGTTTCCACCCAACCTCCAAGCCCATTTTGGGGCAAGGTGATGCGCTTAACTCCCCCCCCTTCCCCCCGGCCTCCCCGTTGGCGTCCACTTCGGCGCCGGTTTTGGGAGACGCCCCTGGCGCATGTCAAAACGCCGCGTCGCCCGCGAAAAGGTGAGAGTCCTCACCGCCATTGGGGCGCTCAGCGAGTACCTGCGCCAGATCCCGGAAAGGCACCTGGAGGGCCAGGCAGCCCGGGCCCTTCAGCAGGCCTCGGGCGGCGCGCGGGAGGTCGAGAGACTTGGGACTTTGGAGCAAGGGGCCGCCAGGTCCGTCCCCTCCAAGATCTCCCCCCACGGGCCCCTCATGCAACTCACTGCCAGACTTTACGGACTTTAGTCACTTTTTGGGCTTGGACCATGTTAGTGGTGAAAAAAAGTTGAGACATGTTCGGACTGTTTTTCTTGACTGCTATTGGGTTGAATCACTAGACTTGAACTTTTTGGTTGAAATCAAGGCGTGCTCCACTAAACCCACAAAATTCTATATATATTTTTTGCAGAGGGGTCAACAGCAACAAAGTTGTTGGCCAATCCACTCAGGAAGTGTGAGGCATGAGTGAATATAGTATGTGGGTGAATCAACAGCAAAAGGGGAGAGGTTATGTTTTGAAATTCGGCCTGAAACTTTAATCAATCGGAGTGGATTTGTCAATTGGGGGAAGGAATTGGCCGGTTTGCTACCCGCTACTCATTCTTTGGCGGCCTGCTTCGCCACCTGTTTGCAATTGCCATATTCCTCGGGCGATGACTATGAAGAATATAAATTTATGTGTAAATATATCTATCTCTAAATATATATATATATATATATATATTTATTTACTACATATAAATGCATAAAGCAGGCTAGGCACGTAGTTTCTTGCAAATTGTGCCAGCTCTCTTTTTTTGTTCATGTCTGTCCACCCAGTCTGGGGTGATTATATTTGGAAGCTGACAGTCAATCCAAGTTTCGCATGGGGACTCACTCTCGAAGGTTCCATCTGAGTTGGGGCCTCTCACGGGTCATTTTTCTCGCCTCTGCCGCGCTCGGAGAGGCCTGGCGTAGCCACAAGAGCTGGAAAAAACGCCAGGCCATGTTGGCAGCCAAGCGCCTTGGCTCTTGGCCCGGGGCGCGGGGCGTGGGGATGGAGGGGGTGGAGGGGATGGAGCGGATGGAGCGGATGGAGGGGATGGAGGGGATGGAGGGCGGCG